GGGCTGGTAGCCAGAACTCCTGGGTTCCATCCCTGGCTGTGGGAGGGGAGTGGGGTCTAGTGGTTGAAGCTGGGGGGGGTGGGGTGGGAGCCAGGACTCCTGGGTTCCATCCCTGGCTGTGGGAGGGGAGTGGGGGCTAGTGGTTGGAGCAGAGGGTGGGGTGGGAGCCAGGACTCCTGGGTTCCATCCCTGGCTGTGGGAGGGGAGTGGGGTCTAGTGGTTGGAGCAGAGGGTGGGGGCTGGAAGCCAGGACTCCTGGGTTCTATTCTAGTTGGCCTCTCCTGGTTCTCTTCCTTCCTCTCTTAATTGCTCCTTCAGTGTTTCCTTTGGAGGATCCTCCCACTGGCCCCCTTCACTTTTTTGGGGCGGGTTCCCCCAGACTCCGTCCTCGGTCGCCTCTCATCTCCCTCATCTCTGGGCCAGCTCGTCCACAGCTCTGCTACCTTTTCTCCACTCTCCTAGATCCCACGGCCAGACGGGGCCCGTCAGGAGCCGCTCGCCTGGGTGCCGGGATAACCCAGGCCATGGCGCTGCCCCGAAATCAGTCCTGGCTGATCCAGATCAGGTCTTTGAGAGGCCGGAGGCCTTGCAAGTGTAGCCAATTATCCCGATAGTTAATTCCCTTCAGCGGGAAAAACATCTGTCGTGTTCCCAGGCTGGGTTTGTCTCCCTTCAATTTCCAGGCTTGGGGCCGGGTCCGACCTTCCTCTGTTCCACTGAGGAGCCCGTTAGTCAATATTCGTCCCCCACGTCGGTACCGATAGCCCGGGATCGAGTCCCCCCCGGACCGTCTCTCTGCTCAGCTAAACAGCTGGAGCTCCTGGTGTCTCTCCCGCCCAGGCAGGTTTTCTAACCCTTCAATCGTCTCCGTGACTCTTCTCCACCCCGTCTCCAATCGATCAACGTCCTCCTTGACTTGGGGGCCGCGCAACGGGACACGGGATCCCGACAGCGTCGCCCCAGGGCCACATCCAGAGGTGAATTCCCCTCTCTGCTCCCGCTCGAGGTTCCCCTGGGGACGCAGCCCGGGGTCCCATTAGCCCCTCCGGTGTCCGGTCTACTGCAGAGCTGTCTCCGTCCGTCCCCGCCTCGTCTCCTCGTGGATGTCCAGCCGTCAGCCCCTGCTCAGTTCCTACTCTCCCCCCTCCCCGAGTCCGCCACCCTCCCTCCTCTCTGTAGCTGCAACCACGACCGTCTGGCCTGTCCCGTAACGTGGGTGTCGTCTTCCGCTTGGGCCTCTCGGTCTTCAGGCCGAAACCTCGCTGCGCCGTTCTGCCCGGGTCCTGACGCCGGGCCTGGGCGCCTAGCGGCCGGAGGGCCAAGCAGAACCAACGGCTGGGAGTTGAAGCTCAACAATTCCCACCGGGAAACGAGGGGACGAGTTTTTAAGAGGGAGGAAAATAACCCGTGGGGGCAACTTCCCAAGAGTTCGGCTAAGGGCCGTTCTATGTGTGACGCAGGAGGTCAGAACAGATGATCACAGAGAGAACCCAGGAGTCCTGCCTCCCTGATTCCCCTCCCCAGCCAGGAATAGAACCCAGGAGTCCTGGTTCCCAGCGCTTCCTGCTCTAACCACTGGACCTCACTCCTCTTCCTGAGCTGGGAGAGAACCCAGGAGTCCTGGCTCCCTGCCCCCCTGCTCTAACCATTAGACAAGGGGTGGGCAAACTTTTTGGCCCGAGGGCCACATCTGGGTATAGAAATTGTATGGTGGGCCATGAATGCTCACAAAATTGGGGTTGGGATGAGGGCTCTGGCTGGGGGGAGGGCTCTGGGGTGGGGCTGGGGATGAGGAGTTCAGGGTGCAGGAGGGGGCTCTGGGCTGGGGCAGCTGGGGTGGGGGGTGGGGTATTGGCTCCAGCTGGGGTGCAGGCTCTGGGGTGGGGCTGGGGATGAGGGGTTTGGGGTGCAGGAGAGTGCTCTGGGCTGGGACCGAGGGGTTTGGAGGGCAGGAGGGGGATCAGGGCTGGGGTAGGGGGTTGGGGTGTGGGAGGGGCTCAGGGGTGCAGGCTCCGGGCAGCGCTTACCTCAAGCAGCTCCCGGAAGCAGCGGCACATCACACCCCCCACGCCGGTTCCTACGCGGAGGCACAGCCAGGCGCCTCTGCTGCGCACTGCCCCGTCCACAAGCACCGCCATCGCACGGTTCCCGGCCAATGGGAGCGGCGGGGACATCAGGCGGAGTGGAGCCCCCTGGCTGCCCCTATGCATAGGAGTCAGAGGGGGGACATGGCGCTGCTTCCGGGAGCTGCTAGGAGCGTCCCCGACCCTGCTCCCCAGCCAGAGCAGGGCCCCTTTCCAGCAGCGTCCCCCAGCCTGGTCCCGTCGCCCCCTCTCTGCGTCCCGCCACTGGCTCCCCCTTCTCCACGGCGTCCACCCACCTAATCCTCTCCCCATCCCTCTCCGAGGGGCCTGGGGTCCCTGCCGCCATCACCTCCTGGGGAATGGCTCAGGCCACCCCACACCCTGGGGAGATGCTCCCCGTAAACACCTCCAGAACCACCACCGTCAGGTCCCTCCCGGGCCCTGCCCGTCACGCTGGCCAACGGGGTCTCGCCCTGCGCGGGCGCCCCCCTGTCCTTCTGCCCATCCATCGCCCGCTGGCTCTCGCTGGCTCCTTGAGGCAGGGATGGGCTCTTTGTTCTGGGTCTGTGTAGCACCCAGCAGTTAAATGTACAGAGCCGGTGCCCCGGGGGCTAGCGTAATACACCTAATAGTAATGAAATGTATAGTGCCTGGTGGCTACCATAATACACCTAATAGCCGTTAAATGTACAGCGCCTGGCACCCAGGGGGCTACCATAATACACCTAATAGCAATAAAATGTACAGCATCTGGTGCCTCGGTGCTACTGTAAGGCACCTAATAGCAATTAAATGTACAGTGCCTGGGGGGTCTGGGGCATGGCTGGGGGGGCGAGAGAGGGGCAGTGCTTTGGGGCTACCGTAATACCCCTAATAGCAATAAAATGTACAGGGCCTGGCACCGTGGGGCCATGGCGGGGGGAGGGGGGTCGAGGTGTGACTATAATTCACCTAATGAACAACACCCAGCACCTTGCACAATGGAGGCCTAGGTGCTACCGTAATACACCTAACCGTGTGCAGCACCTAGCACAATGGGGCTCCAGAGCTGGGGCTCCTGGGCGCTACCGTAATACACCTAGTAACGTTCCATGCCCAGCACTGCGGCTGCTGGGCACGGTCCTGGGGGGAAGAATGGGGGACCCTGGTATGGGAGGAGGGCAGAATGGGGGGCATTGAAGGGAATACCTGAGCTCAAGGTGGCTCTGGGAGGGGAGTGGGGTCTGATGGGTTAGAGCAGGGGGGCTGGGAGCCCGGACTCCTGGGTTCTTTCCCTGGCTCTGGGAGGAGAGTGGGGTCTAGTGGTTAGAGTGGAGGAGTGGGGCTGGGAGCCCGGACTCCTGGGTTCTGTCCCGTGCCTCCCAGCCCTGCTGACTCCGCTCCCAGGGACTGGCTATACCTCTTGTTCGCGTTTGTTGGGGCTGGGGCTGGACCCAAACCTGCCCCGCCCCCGCCCGCAGAATCATTGTTCCCCTGAAGCCTGAATCAACCCTACCCATTAGATCCCCTCCCAGGCGCCAGTGCTGCCAGTATGACTCACCCACAGCTGGGGAGGGAACCTAGGAGTCCTGGCTCCCAGTCCCCCCTGCTCTAGCCACTAGACCCCACTCCCCTCCCAGAGCCAGGGAGAGAACCCAGGAGTCCGGGCTCCCAGCTCCCTTGTTAGTTATGGCACCAGGCTCAGCCTGGATCCGGGTCCCCTGGCAGCGGAGTGGAGCAGGAATCTGGTCAGACAGGTTCCCCGCCCCACTCCTTTCCCCTGGGGAGCGGCTTGGGAGTGGGGTGGGGGGCGGTGGCTCATGGGAACCAGGTGGGGTGTGGGGGGGTGTTCCCTGCTCCTCGCCCCCCCCCACTGTATCCCCAGCCAGAAAGGGCCTTTCTAGCCCCTCTCTTCCCTAGTCACTGTCTCCTTCCCCCTGTTCCTTCTCTCCTCTCATCTTCTCTCTTTCCTTCCTCCCTTACACCCCCCCCCAGTCCCTGTCCGTTCATGGGGCTGGGGAACCCCAACCCAGCTGCTCCAGATTCCAGCTGTTGTTCTGATAGAGGGGGGCTGCCTGGTCCATCCAGTGCCCCCCTCTGTGCCACCCTGTACCCCGCCTTGTCCACCACCCCCATCTGATCTGCCTCATCCCTGGCCCTGTCCTGCCACCCTTTCCATCAGAGCAACCCCCATCCTGTCCAGCTGTCCCCCCCCAACTGAGTCCCCCCAATCCCCTGCCCCCCCCAGCTGTCTCCCCCCAATCGGAACCGTCCCATGGCCTGCCCCCGATGTGAGCTCCCCCTGGTCAGGTCTGATCTGGCACAGAGCCAGGGTTCCCAGCTGGCCGAGAACACCCAGAGGAAACTGACTTCACTTCCCTAGGACAGGAAATGCCGCCTCCCCCCTCAGTCCCAGCTGCCCAGTCCTCCCTCTTCAGCGGAGATCCCCATCCCTCTCAATCCCCACTGGCCACCTCCTCCCTGCCATCCCCCCCACCTTCTAACCACTAGACCCCACCCCCTCCCAGAGCCGGGGAGAGAACCCCGGAGTCCTGGCTCCCAGCCCCCCTGCTCTAACCACTAGACCCCACTCCCCTCCCAGAGCTGGGGAGAGAGCAGAGGAGTCCTGCCTCCCAGCCCCCCTCTCTGAAATAATCCCATGTCACAGGGTGGGGGATATTTTGCCTGGGATCAACACCCCAGTGGGTGACCCCTATTTATCCTAAGATATGGGGGTGCAGGAGACCAACCCTTTCCCTGTGCCTCATTCCCTGCCCCCCTGAGCCAGCCAATCCCCGCCCTGGGGCCGGATGGGAGCCAGCGCCCCCTAGAGGGGAAAGGCCCCGCGCCCCATTCCCCACCCCCTGAGCCAGCCAGTCCTGGAGCGGAGCTGGTGCCCCCTAGAGGGGCGGGGCCCTGTCTCCCTGACCCCCATGTCTCTCTCTCTGTGCCCCCCAGATGCCGATTCTGAAGCAGTCCCCCATTTCCCAGTCGAAGAAGAGGCCCCGCATCGGCCGGGACATGATCAGCGCCCCGCTGGGGGATTTCCGGCACACCATGCACGTCGGCCGGGGCGGGGACGTCTTCGGGGACACCTCCTTTCTCAGCAACCATGGGGGCCCCAAGGCCAACGGGCTGCCCCCCGCCACCGAGGCCCTGGCGCCGGCCCAGTCCCCCAGCCGCCTCTCGGGGTCCTCCGGCAGCCCGGCTGATTTGGGGGGCGGCCCTAGCGCCCTGGATTTGCCCCCCGCTGGCTGGGAGGGGGAACTGCAACACGCCGAGTCCCTGTTCTCCTTCGAGTTGGATCTGGGGCCGTCCATTCTGGATGAGGTGTTGGGGGTCATGGACAAGGGCGGGGAGCAGCCCCGGAGCGAGGACGTCAGGGCGGAGAGGCCGGGGGGGGGACAGGGGCTGGGCCACGGGGCGGCTCCCCAGGCAGGGGAGGAGGAAGAAGAAGAGGAGGAGGAGGAGGAGGAAGGCACCGGGCATGGATACACATTTGACGATGAGCTGGATGACGAGATTGGGCTATAGGAGAGGGGGTTCAGCTCCCCTCCCATCCCTCCATTCCCCCCTATTCCCTCCACCCCTCCATCTGTCTCCTCCCCTGTCCCTTCATCCACGCCCCTCCTGCTTCAGCCATCCCCCTCTTCCCTTGTGTGTGTCCTCTCTGTCTTTTCCTCTTTCATTCTTCCTTACCCTCCTTTCATGCGCTTCCCCCTTCTCTTTCTTTTGCCCCTGCTCCCTTTCCCTTCCCCTCTTCCGCCATTTCTTCCTTTCATTCTTTTTTTCCGTTCACTTATTCTTACCCCCTAGCCGGCCCCCTCCCCATGGCAGTACCGGTTCTCTGAGGTTGGTGATCCTATCTGCAATGGAAAGTCCAATGTGTTTGATCCTAATTTTCACCTCCTTGTCTGTATGGATTTCTGGAATCCTAATCCACCCACCCCTCGGTTGACTGGTCAACTCATCAATACGTCTATCTATTAATGAGCCCCTCAATCAATCCACCAACCCACAGATTGCCCAATCAACCCATCAATACATTGATCAACTTGTCAATCCATTTATCAATCAACCCGTCAATTGATCAACAATCAATCTACCACCAAAGAACAATCGGCCCATTGGCTGACAAAATGAGCTATCAACAGTCAGCCCCCCCCGCAACTGATCAATCGGCCGATGGACCCATCAACCATCAATCCACCAATTGACCTGCCAACTAAGTTATCAACCAACCAATTGACCAATGGAACAGTCAACGATCAACAAAGCAACCAGTCAACCCATCAGCGGACTAGTCAAGAATCAACCCACCAATCGACCAGTCAGCCAACCAGTGAAACAGTCAACAATCAACCAACCAATTGGTCGGTGGAATGGTCAACGATCAACCAATCAACTAGCCAACCCATCAGCGCAATAGTCAAGAATCAAGCCACCGATCGACCACTCAACCAACCAGTGGAACAATCAACCAACCTGTTGACCAACCAATCAATCAATCCACCGATCATCTCAGCAATTGACCAAATAACCCACCAGTCAGTCAGCATCCCACTTCCTCTCCCTCATTCCCCTCTCCCAATGGGAGAAGGAACTCCTGAACTGAAAGAAGAGACAGTTTGATGTTGGTTTTGTGTGTATCCATCTCACACCCCATCTGGACTCTGGGCTCATAATAGATGGACTCGGACAAGAGCAGTGGTACCGGGGTGGTTGAGGGGCACGGATCAGCCTTGAGAAAAGTGATTTGGGTAACGCTGTGAAAATGACCTGGGTTCCCTCCTCCTCCACCCCCTATTTCATGCCTGGGGCTCCCCCCACATGGAAGGAGAGTTACTTGAGACATTAACGGATTATATTCACCAGGGGTGGAAGGCCTAGGGTCTAATGGGTTAGAGCAGGATGGGGGCTGGGAGCCAGGACTCCTGGGTTCTCTCCCTGGCTCTGGGAGGGGAGTGGGATCTAATGGTTAGAGCAGGGGGGGCTGGGAGCCAGCACTCCTGGGTTCCTGGCTCTGGGAGGGGAGTGGGGGCTGGTGGGTTAGAGCAGCGGGGGCTGGGAGCCAGGACTCCTGGGTTCTCTCCTATATTTCTAGGTGGAGGTGCCTAGAGGGTCTGGTGGATTAGAATAAGGGGGGGGGCTGGGAACTAGGAGCAGTTTATCCCAGCCCAGAAAAGGGTGGGGTGGGGGGGAGGGGTACATTTCACTTTTCCTTTGAGGGCAGGGGTGTTAAGATTATTTTCCCTGCTCCAGATTTGATGTGTGTGTGAGGGAGGAGGAATGTTATTAAGTGGGGCAGCAGCTGGTGTCCTCGTGGCGGGCGTCATGGATTAATAAGGGGTCCCCTAATCTGGGCCCACGAACAACAGGGTCAAATGGAGCCAATGCAGTGTGGTTCTGTCGCCCCCTAGTGGACTGATTGGGTAGAAAGGCTACTGACGCTGTAGCGCGGGGCCTGCTCTTACAGTTGTGGGTTCGAGTCCCTGCAGGGAGGGGGATCGGATTTGGGATTGGCCCACACCCCCTGAGGGAGAGGGAAAGACGGCTAAATGGGACCCGTATTGGCTGGAATAAGGATGGAATGCAGGAGACAGCTGGGGGAGGGAGAGAGGAAGAAGAAAGAAAGAAAAATGTGGGTGGAAAAAGCAGAGTGTGTGTGAATGTGAAAGGATGGGAAGGGAAGGTGGGAGTAATGTTAAATAGGACTCCTGGGTGCTCTCCCCAGCTCTGGGAGGGGAGTGGGGTCTAGTGGTTAGAGCTGGGGGGCCAGGACTCCTGGGTTCTATCCCCGGCTCTGTCATTGGTCCCCTGTGTAACCCCAGGCAAGTCCATATGTCAGTCTGTGCCTCAGTTTCCCCTTCTAAAGTGGAGCTTATGATACTGCCCTAAGGAGGAGGTGGGGGGAGGGAGGGCTCTGAGTTTCTCTGCTGAAAGCTGCTCCGCGGGTGCTAAGGATGAACCTGCCTTCCAGCCACTGAGTGCAAAGGGGAGGCGGGGGGCTGGAGGCTGACCTGAGCTCAATCCGGAGCCACCCCCCAGACTGCCACGGGGCCAGGGCCGGGTTCTGATCTCCCTTACGCTCTGTCTGACCTTGTGCTAATCCCTGGATCTCATCACCCCAGGCCTTCGGTATCTCCCCTTAACGTCTGCCCCCTGCCCTCCGGGTGTCCCCCCCCCATGTTAAATAGCGGGATGGATCTCTGCGTATATTTTTTTATATCTCTGTATATTGCCCCCCTCCCGTGTATAAATGTCCATTCCCCTCCCCCAGCCCTGCGTCGAGTTCACTCTAAAGCAAATCTTTCTAGCGAGAGAAAAATGTTTGTATTTCTTACCATTAAAGCGCGACCTTCGGTCCGGAGCTGGGCCAGTTCTTTGAGCCTCTTTACCCCTGGAATCCATTCCCCAGCACCCCCGAGAATCCACCCACCCCCCAAGCTGGGTAACCTGCTGGCTAGAGCCGGGAGGGGACACAGGGTGACGGTGGGGTCAGTCCCGGACACGCAGAGGGAGGGAAACACAATGGGAAAACGGGGAGCAGGAAGGAAATATTCTCAGAGCTGTGAGGCGCTCGTGTGGGAGCCAGGACTCCTGGGTTCTATCCCTGGCTCTGAGAGGAGAGTGGGAGCTGGTCGGTTAGAGCCAGGGGAACTGGGAGCCAGGACCAGGGGCACCCAGAGGATTCAGGGGGGCTGGGGCAAAGCAATTTTGGGGGCCCCTTCCATAAAAAAAAGTTGCAATACTATAGAATACTATCTTCTCGTGGGGGCCCCTGCGGGGCCCGGGGCAAATTGCCCCATTTGCCCCCACCTCTGAGCAGCCCTGGCCAGGACTCCTGGGTTCTATCTCCAGCTCTGGGGGGCTGGTGAGTTGGGCGGGGGTTGGGAGCCAGGACTCCTGGGTTCTATCCCATGCTTGGGGGGCTGGGGGGTTAGAGCAGGGGGAACTGGGAGCCAGGACTCCTGGGTTCTATCCCCAGCTTGGCAAGGGGGCTGGTGG